AAAGAAAAAAAAAAACAAAGAAAGAAAAAAAAAAGAGAGGAAACTTACACTATCTGATTATGATTTCCTATAAAGGTATGGTGATCAACACAGTATAGAATAATAAGAACAGAACAGAAAATCTAGATAGAGATCCAGACATCATAATCAACTGATTCCCAACAAAGGGGTCATGTTAATTAAATAGGAAAAAGAATGGTCTTTTCAGTAAATAGTGCAAAAAAACCCATATGAACAGCCTATGTCTTACAGAACTTCAAACAGTAATTAATATATATATACATAAATTAACTTGCAATGAATCACAGATGAAAAGCCAACACTACAAAACTTCTAGAAAAACACATGAGAAAAATCTTTGAGATCATGGTTAAGATAAAAATTTCTTAGGATGCAAAAGGCACAAACCAGAAAAGAAAAAGGAAAAAAAAAAAAAAGATAAACTGGATTTCATCAAAATTGAAAATTTCTGCTCTTCCAAAGACAGTTTATAAATAAATAAAAATATAAGCCACAAACTAGAAGAAAATAATGGCCAAAAAGAGTGGGCAAAATTCTTGAACACTTCTCCAAAGAAAATATGTGAATGACCAATAAGTAATGAAAAGATAATCAATACCACTAATTATCAGGGAAATTAAAATTAAAACCACAGTAAGATTCCACTATAAACCCACTAGAATAATTAGAACAGTATCAAGTGTTTTGAGTACAAGAAGCAACTGGAACTCGCATATATACATTACTGGTAGGAATGTAAAATGTGACAGATAATTTGGAAAACAGTTTTGTATCTCTTATAAAATAAAAACATATCTTATCAAATAACTTGGCAATTTAGCTCTGAGGTATTTATCCAAGAGAAGTAAAAACATGTCTCCACAAAGACATGAATACAAATGTTTATAGCAATGTTACTCAAAATAGTCAAAAACTGGAAACAACCCAAATGTGAATCAACCAGTGATTGGTAAACATATTTTGGTGCACTCATATAATGGAATACTATTCAATAATAGGAAACACATTGAGGATGAATGAATGGATGAATCTAAAAAGCATTATGCTAAGTGAAAGAAGGGTGACAAATGGCTACATACTGCCTGATTCCATTTATTATGATATCGTAAAAAAGACAACATTACAGGGACAGAAAAGACATCAGTGGTTATCAGGGGCTGGGGATGGGATAGGGACAGAATGACTGATTGCAAAGTGAAATGGGGGCACTCTGTGTGGTGACGGGAGTATTCTTTATCTTGATGTGAAGTGGTAACAAACTGTTTGCTTCTCTCAGCTCTTAAAATTGTACATTTTTGAAGTATGCAGTTATTATTTATAAGTTATATCTCAGTAAACCTGATTTTCTTAAAAAGGCAATTCAAACATTTTGAAAGTTACTGGCTGTTTAAAACATCCTTTTGACTAACAACACAAACGAGTTCTAATGACAGGAAAAAAACTGCCGTTTATTGTTTAGTTGAACCTTTGACAAATGGAGAACTTAGAACAAATCATTCAAAAGAAAAGAGAGCAAAGTTTCCCAACTGTCTTTCAGAATGTCATAGTACCAAGAAACTCAAATAACATTTAATCAAGAGCACAAGTCAAGCTAAATAATCACCAGACTCAAAGCTCACCTCATTTTCATACTGGATTTCTAACATGGCCCGCGAGCTGCCGAGGTCCTGCATCACAGACTCAGCCTGTTTCAGCAGCTCCTCTCTGTTCACAGTACGCTAAAAAGAGAGTACAACTGTCAGGAAACTATGCTTTACTAATATTACACTTTAATAAACAGGTGGCATTTGTTGAAAGAACAAAATCAACTTAATTGTTAACATTTATATTTCCTGAAACAGATAACTCAGAAAAGGCTGAGGTAGCTGTATTGCTACAAACATCAACAGCACAGTTCAATATATTAAGGAAACCAGATGCAAGAGTAATTACTAATTTATCTTGAATCCATGGCAAGTTCAAAAACCTCAAGTTGGGGAAGAAAAAAAATCTCTGTATCTTTGCCAAATATCAATGCAATCTCGGGGCTGCCGTTTCATAAAATCTCCCTGGGTACATTTATATTTACCTAGAGAAATAGGTATGGAGGTGGCAGGTCAAACAAGTGAGCAGGGAAACCTATTGGCTCTGATCTGCCAAGATCCTACAAGCACTACTACAAACACCTGTGAATGAGACTTTCAAAGGTCCTACTAGATTTCAAATTTATGCCAATATCAGTGTCTATGGAATCCTAATGAGGATATGAATAGGATGACCTTTTTTACTTAACAATGTTTGCTTTATGTTTTGTTTTGCTTTTCAGTATACACTTCATTCCCTGCCACCCAGCTAACTCCTTTATGGTAGCACTAATG